TGTAAGTCATTTCGTGAAATGAATGGATTCTGGCAGACCATTCATTCATTTTTTTTTCTGAGACTACTCTTTGTCACTGCAATCATACTTGCAAGGTAATGCGGTATCGGATAAATTCGAAAGGATGGAAATAGTTTTCCCAGCCTTTCTAATGTTCTGAAACAACCCAAGCCTCTTGAACGCTTTAATTAACAAAAAAAGTATTGTGAACAGCTCGTGCTGATTTTTACCAAACAATATTCTGTGCTTAGCGGAATCAATCAATGATGAATATCATCAACTAAGTTCTTTCTCCTATTAAACATTTCTCCTTACTTTCAATTTACAAAAAAGGTTATATTTGTGGTGCTGAAAATCAACAAAGAAAAACGAATGCAATTCCGTTATGAAGGACAATATATGTAATGATTGACAGTTAGACCTGGCCCAAGTAGTCTTATATTTTAATTGTTTTAATGGTATTTGGAAAATTAAAGTAAGATTAGCATATTTACATCTCATTCAAAAAACGTACTGTTACATCCATTGAGTATACATTTCAACTAGTTATTGTTATGATTATCGACATTTACTGTAAATTTATGTCTAGTTATAACTTTTAAAGCTTATTCTGCCTGTATCGGTAGGTTTGTAAGAAACTATTGTACAATTGATTTTGAGGACCACCTTTGTATTTGTTCGCAATTGTCTTTTTACGTTGGTAAATATGATTTATATACTATCTATCGTTGTTTCCAATTATCACTCATGTGTATCAAAATGATGAGGAATTTGGCCCAGTCTTGGTATAAGTAACTACAAATGTACACCGAAAGATCTTTTTGCGACTACACAAACATGTGGCATACAAATTAGGCCTCATTTGTGAGCTGTTACTTGTCATATTTAGAATATGAAGGCATTTGATGAGCCGCGCTTTTCAAGGAACACCTTTTCTCTGAAGTTCTTCCACACTTGCATAATAACATTGGTAACGCTTTTAAAGTATTTGTCACCTCTCCTCAGAACTCAACCTTCTCTTTAAACAGTATGTTGCGACGTATGATTACTGTAAATAAATAATATTTTAGATGGATGAATTAATAGATAGGCCTACAACTAATTACCGGTTTGAAATATCTCGATACCTCAAGAACAGCAAATTTTCTTTTACAAAACTAATGACTCCTTCGCTTGATATGATGACAAGATTACATAACCATCTAAGAACTTAGAACGAACCGATGAGAGGAAGCCATTATACCGAATGGCAATGTTGCATCGCCATCACCAAAGTGGCAAAACCTTGTAAAAGTAAGATGTATTTTATTTTGTTCATAAATCTTCTCCACAATGCGTTATAAAAGTAACTGTGTTAAAACGGAAAAAAGAAGAAAGTTGGGCTCTGAAGAGTCTAAAGTTTACGGAGTTGACGACCAAGCCTTTATCGAATATTAGACGGTCACCAGCGAATCAAAGCCGTCTGATTTAATGAGTAGCCCGGAGCTAAGAAACGGAACTCTCCCTATCTAGCTAAAATTCGATTCCGAGGGTTGCAGAGAATCGAATTTGTCGTGACTGTGCCCCGATGAGTGGAGTCGAGGGAAATATAAAGGAACGAAGCTTCGAGGTCTGGATGCTACCCTACCTGAACCTCTAAAAAAAACTCCATGTTGCTCAGGATAAAACACGGTTCTCTCAAATATTTCATGTCTGCCCACTAGCAGCATGGTTGAGAATAATGGCGTTGAATGAAACGCGAAGCATGTAACAGAGGGGTAAACGGGGCAAGAAAATAATTACAAGGAGAGCGAGAGAGAGAGAGAGAGAGAGAGAGAGAGAAAAAAAAAGAAGAGAGAGAGAGAGAGAGAGAGAGAGACTGGAAGAAAGAAACCCGGGAGATATAAATATGTAGGTCGATACACATACACTGAAATAATTGTTTACAAGATCTAGAGCGTCACACATCAACATTGAAATTGGTAGCATGTTTATATACCAAGTAAAATAAAAACAAAACAAAACCTATTTGCTAGCACTGCGGTGTTTTAGAATCGTCTCGCGAGAGTGAGAGAGAGAGAGAGAGAGAGAGAGAGAGAGAGAGAGACATACAGACAGACAGAAAGAGAGAGGGGGGAGGGGAGGTATTGATATTTTAGCGATTAAAATGTTTCCAGTGATATAATATATAGTCGTCATATAACAAGGTTCAGCTATGGATAGTTATAAGAACAAGAACAACATTACACATGTATAATTATATATCAATCGCTATTTATTATTTTCAATATCATCATAATACAATACAATAATGATAACAATGATAATCACGTCATAAGACTATAATATTCGGCTGACATATGGATTCTTATACAAACATAATAGATTTAGAAGGTATGTGCGATAATGAGTTCCTGACTCACATCATAATCACTAATCAAATCTAAACTTATATAAAATCTAAACAGAAAATATCAAGTTTGATACAGTTTACGTACATGTGGAATGAATAGCTCGATGGTACTCTTTAGTTCCTTTCAAAGGTTACATTTCCCCGAGGAGTTGCCCGGATGTGATCCTAGTGTTTTTCTCAAATATCTTTAAAAGGCTACTATTTCCCTTTGGTCTTAGTTAGAGTGAGAGCCTACCATTTCACATTAATCTGTCCCAAAGGTTTATTTTTTATTTTTCACAGAGCTTGCCATGACAATGTAGACACTATAATGTAGCGATGAACACCATGTATGTTTCGTTTAAGGCATTTATTTTACTGTGTAACACAACATTGCACGGACATACATTTCATTGAAGTGACATGGATATGGAAACAAGAAGACAAAAGTAAAGCAGTTATAACAATCAAAGCTTTAGAGAAAGGACAGCGCAGAATAAGCGAGAAAAAGACTCGAATACGTGGTGTTTGATGACCTAGCAACTGACCAAGTATCGTCCTGTCTATTCCCTCGTGCAGCCAAACCATATCTTTCTCTTTTATAAATTATATTGGATTAGACCATTACGTGGGCGAGAAAAGAGTTCTGCCAGAACTGCCTTTTATGCATGTCCACCGGTAGAAATTGTATAAGATTGCGTTGAGAGCATGGTGCTATAGCATTCGCTAAAAAATAATTCAGTTGACAAGGTCGAGAAGTGCATTATGATTGATTTTTTGTGAAGTAGTTTAGTGTGAGGTTTGTGAACAATCATTACCATTATCAGAAATGCTAGATATAGATTAGATGTTATAAATGACGTTAAATTCACATGCGTCAGTGCAGCAAAGCATATTAAAAGACAAATCGATGGGTTAATGATCCAAATGATAATGGCTCTGACTGTACTCATTCCTGCAATTTAAGTAATGTTCATGTATATCTATAATTAGACATTTCTCTCTGCAACAGGACTGTAAGTATCATATTTTGTGTTAATATTGATCATAGCCATGGTAATGGCAAGTCAAATGGATGCAAATAAATACCCGGGTCTTGAGTATAAAGGAAGCTAAACTTTACGACTGGGTAACTTTCCTTTTGTCTGTTTTTTTCTTTCTGTTAATGTTTTATTCAGCTAATAGTGGTTTAAATATGTGTTAAGTCAGATTATTTTCTTTTCTTGGTATGATTATTTTATTAAATGGATCACCTGTTGACCCATCGGGATGGGCGGCGGGGGGGGGGGGGCTGTTTCACAAAGACTAATATCGACTTAAGCAGGCCATTCGTACCACCGGTTTCTCTCACCATAGGTCTCTCAATTATGATCTTGAGAGACTATGTTTTACTTCAATAATGGTAAATTGTGTAGATTTGTGACCTAGAGTTATACGTCCCTTGAGAAAGCAATGACAGGAATGGTTTTGAGGATCTAGTGACACGTACATCCTGCCATATTTCAAGTCCAACTTAAGTCGATCTTGTGAAACACCACCCTGATGGTGTAACACTTCTTTGAATCAATTTGCGTTTCAATTAAAATAATAATTCTAACCTCTGTCATAATAATACAAGTATTTTCGATATCACAATGGTTATCTTAATATTTAAAATATGTTGCAAGCATATTTGTTTTAAACTGTGGAAATAGTTCTTAAATGCATTACAATAACACATACAGCGTAATCTATTTTTTGATTACGTTGCATTTGATATTAACAGTCACGCTTACTTTCACAAACACTACTGAAAGTTCTATGACCGTTCGCGCATGAGATTGTCATCAATTCTAATCTTGTTCTGCTATACAATATTGCAATGATCTTAATGGCTAGAATATGGTTACATCATGAAAAGAAACCGCACACTAAAGATAAAATCTATATCTTTGGATGCGTAGTATAAAGTCAATATAATCATTGAATGTCTGAGTTGATCTACATCAGATCTATAGTTTGCAGTGCGGCAAAGTATAAAACATGACGTACCGTATATGCGCCTTGCTAAATTTATAACCGTCGGCCCATTTTCCTCACTGTAAAATGACCGAGAGGATTTACATGTAGATAAGGTAATTTAGAATAGATAATGATCACATCATAATGCTAATTTGCTAATCATTATGAGAATGTACAGCTTTACATCAATGCTAAAAATCTATGCTTTGATACAAACTGCAAATAGATTCGAAACTCCGCGTATTCCCGCTTATAAGACAAGGATTGTGAATTTATGGGCTCATCTAAATACCTCCATGGCCCGATGTTCGGACCGATTATGTAAAGTATGTCGGGTCGACTATTGGAATTGATACAGGCAAACCTACAGCACTTTTGGTTTATACACAAAAATTAAAAAAAGCTTTTCTACCCTGTATCCGCATAAAACTAGGTCCCGATAAAAGCAAATCGAATTGGCCACTGGAGAGGCGAAAACAGATTATTTTTAGAAAGCGCTAAATGTCATGGCACGAATGGATTACAAAGTAATGTCCGCTCAAGATTTAAACTACATCGATTGTTACCTTCATATTGTTTTGCTAATTATTAAGACGTAAACAATCATACCTACTTATACCCTTTGCCGTATAATAAACCTCCAATGTTTAATAGCTTAACTGTGATCATATCGCTTTGTCATTCATGAAAACGGAGACAATTGTGCATAATAACTTAGGAATTATATATTTTGTAAAGACTAAACATAACATCCTTTCTTCCCCCCTAAAAAAAGGAATAATGATAAATACATACATAAATAAATAAATAAATAAATGTCAATTTAATGGATACAGGTTTTAAGTATACAAATTACCAACATGTGTTTTGCTCATGATGTAAAGGTTGGATGTAGCTATACTGTATTCACAATAAAAACCTTCAAAACAAAATTCCACAAAGATATATTGCAGCTCAAATCCAGCCTTAGCTTAGTGACCAGTAAAACGTTTCGTTGCGTAGACTAGTTCACGGACGCGTACACTCTCGCATATATTGGTTCAGTTTTATGTATCATTTATTGTCTTCATACTCCTTATTCGTATACCTTTAGAACGCCAGGTGATTTATTATTATTTAAATAAAAAAAAACTTTTTAAAGGTTGATTGTGTACATTCTAGCTATACACAAATCATTTTGTCAGATAATTGGTACACTTAAGTGTTTAAAGCACACGAGCATTATGACACTTCCACATAGCCTATACATCTACGCCTCTACATATAACTAACATCGTTCATCTAGAATGTAATACGCACATAATATCAAACTACCATTTCTAAAAGCAGAGTTGGAGAAGTATGACGATTCTTCTTTGGATTATCCTCATATCTCGACCGCTGGGGCGTCTCGTATAAGATGCAAAGACTCCCCTTTAGCTTTTCTGCTACTAATTTTATGTGGATGATGGACTTCTATAGTGAGATAGTAGACCCATCCTCCTATCGGGCCCCCGACCAAGGGTACAAACAGCGGTATCCACCAAAAATGGTCACCAGATGGACTGAAAGAGAAGTAGAATTAAAACACATTACTATGAATATGTATGCTATAAGATTGGCTCAAATGCGTCGATAGAGGGAGCGGTGTCGTATCAATATTTACCACTCCATACACAGGAGAAAACCGGTACTGTTTACAAAAACTCTAAGTTGAACTCATCTTTAAGTTGGACTTAACAATTATAGACAGCCTTTAGTATTTTTGAAAATATTTTGGGAAAGTTATTTTAAAAGGCATAAATTGATGATTCAAATCATTCATATGATCTATTATCAAAGATCTCATGTTCCTGATGTGGAATTTAAGAAAAGTTTGAAATATTTGAATTTTTGCTTTTGAATATTATTTCAAGGCTACAAATGGCTCTCCATAATTTTTAAGTCAAACTTAGAGTTAAGTGTGAAACATCCCCCTGTTAGGATAACAAAGGCCTTTGTGTTAGTTATTGCCACATTCCTTCACGGTGACCATATGGTAGGAATACTGCCCAGGGAGTGGAGATGGTGCACATCGTGCGTAAATGGGTCCGATGATCGAGTAAATATACTGATTTTGTAAAGCGCTTAGAGACGATGTTTCGTACTAAGCGCTTTATAAATCCAGCTTGTTATTGTTATCATTAGTTATCATCAATCTTCCCTAAAGAATGTATGTTCACTGATATGGACGTAGATACGAATAGATTGGTGTTATCATTTTGTCCCATTCGATGATTATGATTAGATTTCATACGTTAATATCATTCAAGTTACATGGCTCTTAGATCGGCGTCACAAAGACCTGGTCAATATGAATAAGTTGATGTAAAACAATATGAAATACTCATTTTGGAATTCGTCAATCAGGTATTAAGGGTTATTGTAGAGGAGTGAAGAAGGGGAATTAAAGGTAACATACTGTTTCATCGATAATGGCACTTGAGTTGAGTATGAACTGCACACAAGTTGACGTGTTGATAGCAATGTTTGAAATGATTCATCATACAAAAGTAACAAAATAAAAAGCACTTCAGACATATCCACTGCTGTGGCGGTCCGCAACTTCTTGGTTCACGCTTTCGCAGTGGTCTGTTCTCTCTGTTTCTGTTAATCAGAGAGAAAAAATATTGCACCAAACAATAGAGGGCGCATTGCAATGAAATGGCAGTCTTAAATGTGATATTTATTATTGGGAGATAAGAAACTTGATCAAGTTGTTGACTGACTCTCCCATGACCACATTTTGTCTAACAGTGCCGTTATTGGCAGTCTCCAGGCCCAAAAGATATGATCTGGTTGTAAAATGTCGATAAAAAACCTATCATAAAACAAAGTGAGTGGTTGGTTCCAGACAATTTGAAAGGGGGAGGCGGGGAGGGGCAAACACATTAACACAACATCTACCAAATATTCACTCACGTCACCCAGATGTCCTTTCCGTATCCAGCACAAGCGGTGAACAGTCTCGGGCTGAAATCCCTTGCAGGGTTGACCGCTGCACCCGCGTTGTAGCCGTATGCTATATTAACGACGAGAAGAAGTAGACCTACTGCTATTGGTTCAAGCCCCGCAGGTGGTTTGATGTTGTGTTTATCAAAGATGGCGAAAATACCGCCAACGAGAAGGGCCGAACCCACAAGCTGTATAAAATAGCAAATAACATAATTTAAGCACCCAAAATAACAATTGTTTTCGATATATTGCTAGTGTATTATTTGTTTGGAGCTATCTGTGGTAATCATGATGTAACATATCGGCAGGAAGCTAAACAGACCTACGCAATATAATTGCATAATGTGATATTAATAATAATAATAATAATAATAATAGTTTTTTTCTTGAATAGCACATAATACGTTATGAAATAACATCTCTATGCGCTTTCGAAAGAGATTTGGAAATTAGTTCCATAGCTTAAGCTCCGGCAGCCGTTATCAGCGCACAATGCATGTCAAGCAATAATCCTACCAGGTGCTCATTTACCACACCTGGGTTGAGTGTGGCAAATGTAGATCAATGTTTTGCCAAAGGACATTAGTGCAGCGATGGGACTCGAACCGCGGACCTTATGATTGACAGTCCGGTGACGTATTCACTCGACCACAGTTTATAGATATAGGCATATATATATTTACATATTTCTTGAAACATCGAATTTTCCTATTAATGGGCTGATAGCATTATTGTAGGTCATCGCTTGTTAGGTAGCCTCATTCGGTTTAAGAATTGTACGCATATCAACTAAGATGGCGCTTGACATAATATACATGTATGATATATAATATATCGGGTTTACAGTAAGTGCAGTTGTTAGGCATTAATGATGATTAAAGACGAGTGATCTCTCCACAAATAATGTCTCTTTTTGAAGCATTCAGAAAAAAGAGGTGAAGGAGAAAAAAGAGAAGAAGGAGGAGTAAAAAAGAAATTACCATCTCAATTGATTTTTACACCAGGATTTACTTAAAGGTAACGCAAAGTTTTGTGAATTTTTAAAAATTGGATTGATAGTAATTCTTTAATATGTTGTTTTATTTATCTTATAAGTACTATAACATTTAGGCCTTAAAACACTTCTGCTTTCGAGAAATTGAATAGTACAAAATAAACCGGACGGGTGCTCCCTCTAAATTTCAAATATTTTAAATAGTGCCTATAAAGGCCACTCCACGATAGCTGCGACCATGAAAATCTCAGAATATGCAGTTCTGATATATAGTTTCCAAACGGGAATAGCAAATAAATCCATTGTAGTCAAGAAACATTGTTCTAAAGCTTAATTAATATCAGTCTTGAGAGGGCGCTATACAACATAAAGAGTTTATTATTTACAATTTCAACACTTTAGACTCAATTTCAACCGCGACAACGATCATTGAATATTGTAAGATCGCATATGCTTCTAATATGTTCATTTGAACCGAATTCATGACCCCATACCAAAACTTTGTATTACCTTTAAGGGGGAGAACAAAACTTGTTCAAAGCATTGATTTTACCACAGAACACGATTACCACAATCTATATCTTGTAATCCGCCTGTTGCATAGTATAATAATAGGCAGTATAGATTCCGGATGATACAAGAATGCAACCGTGTGGCTATAATGTGTGATTTCTTACCTGGTCCATGACTCCTCCTGGTACACTTAGGAAAGATTCGGGGTATCCATTGGGGTATGTGGCAAAGATTACTGCGGTGGCTAGAGATCGATTAGAAGGCCCTCCTTCAAAACTGTTGATACCATCTAAACAAATAAATACAATTCAGGATGATAGTGCTTACAATTTAACATTGCTGTCACTATCTCGCGGAGGTTGATGTTTGTTGAAAATCAAGTAAGATCAAAAAAGCAATTTATACTTTAACGTTTCATAGCATATAGCCACCTGTTGATAAAGAACAATACGTTTAAATTGTTCAGATATTGAATACCACTAATGATATTAATAACAATTACATATATAGGGCGCTTAATACAGGCGATTTTATTAAAGCGCACAAATGCCTAATGTTTACTCATCGCCCCAAATAGCGTTGTATTCCCAATGCCTAAGTAGGGCCTACAAGATTCACTTACGCACATGAAAGAAATGTCCGGTAGAGATGGAGGAAAGGGAGGAAATCCCTCTTTACATATTTTGTTGCTTGCTTGTTTTCCCTATATCAGTCTTTTAAACCCCAAACCTGTAACTTATTAAGATAATCTATTGACAGTTTACCTCAAAAGGAATGTCAATGGTTTGTTAGATTTCTCTTAAAAAATCATCACAGTGATAAGTGATGGGGTGCCATTTATCGACAGAGCTAGGGAAAGTTTTGTTTTTGTTAAAGACAGAGAAAACACAACTTTTATTTGTTAATTAGCCTATACTCTATTCTGATGTACACGTAAATTAAGTGAAGTGCTCAAGGCCTGGGTAAATGGCAATTGTTTTTGCCTTTCTCTTCCTCTACCACTATATATACTACCGCTTCTTCTTCTGCTGCTGCTACTACTACTACTACTACTACTACTACTACTACTACTACTACTACTACTATTACTATTACAACTTCTACTATTTTTTTTTTTTTTTACTAATGCTATTAACGGTGAACAACAGAAGGACAACAAGAAGAACAAGAACAAGACAATTATGCCGATAAAATTGTTTGATGATGATGTTGATGACGATGATGATGATGATACAAATAATAATGATAGTAATAATAACAACGATAACAACCACAAATATTAATAATAGAAAATTATATTTAAACATGGTAAAGAGAGAGGCTTAAGAGAAGGAAGTCAATCTTACCTAGGTAGATACCATAGACTACAGCAGCACCAAGGAAAGCACCGATAAACTGAGCAAACCAGTAGACAGGCAGAGCTAACCATCTCAGACGGCCAAGGCTACACATCGAGAGAGTTACGGCCGGATTTATGTGACCACCTGCATGTTAACATATCAATAGTTATCAAATATATCTACCTGTACCCTTATATATATTAAAGGGATTGGATATATTTGTCTCAGATTCTAAACAAAATCCTGGATTTAGCTCATGCTGTATTCATAATTATAAACCTTTCGAACAGTCAGGAATCCCATGACTTTTACAAGCCGATCGCCTGTCTGATTATCGAGATATTTATGATAGGAATTCGAAATGTTAAAACCCCGTTTCCGAACTGTTTTTTATAACACTACAGTTAATAAGGTACGGCCATTCCACCCTCCCTCACCCCCTCCACATCCGTCATAGGTCTCCCTTACCTGACACTCCCCCGGTCATGTAAATACACACGGTGACAGCAAGAGAGGCACCAATGTTAAGTGACAGAGCACCACCCGCTGCTCCACGGCTCAGAACGGTTCTTGCTACAGCGCCATCTGTAATAAACTTGATTATAGTGAAAACATATTTATGAATCTGGGTAAAGATCTCAACTATCGCTATGTACATCACATCTAAAAATGTTATTTCAAATATTAATCTCCACATATTGTGCGGGAACACCTTTGTATATTGTTGAAGGCCCTTGGCAATAATATAAAAGGTCCTGGGAGAGTGTTTCACTAAGATCCAAAGCTGAACTTATCTTTTAGTTGGACTTAAAAATTATGGAAAGCCGATAGCATCTTTGAAAATATTTATATTTATATTTATTTTAAAAGGCATTAATGTTGATTAAAACCATTCATATTTCCAATTATCAAGTAGATTTCATGTTCTTGATGTGGAATCTGAAAAGTATAAAATACTTCGACTTAGGATCCTTGTGAAACACCCCCCCCCCCCCCGGGCTCCATTTCCGGTGCTTACATCCGTGCACAAGGTATAAATACTCACATGTCATGTCATGTAACAGGGGTCAGTAATTGCTTGGCCTTAAGGAAGGTCATAATTACCACTGATGAGGCAACCTTATGTAATAAGACCCCATCCCCCTTCTTCTTCTTCTTCTTCTTCTTCTTCTTCTTCTCAGTAGTGTTACTAGTAGTGTTATCTTCATCATCATCATCATCATCATCATCATCATCATCATCACCATAAGTGTTATTATTGTTGAATACTCATATTAAGACTATCATTAATTAAGACAGAATGGGAATTTTCATCTTCAATATCAAACTTTTTTTAATTTGTTTTTTTTGGGTATTCTAGGATAACATAAAAGCCAACTGGCTATTTACAATCATGTACATGAATGCAAAATGACAAAAACATCATGTAGTCTACTACAACTCAAATATATATTTTTAATGGAGGCTTAACTTGTCATGCTTAGCTGCAATTACATATTCAGATTTAGACTTAATTTTATCAAAGATATAAGACCATGATAATTCGGTTTCTCTTTCTTAAATTTGCAGCAGTGTATGTAGATTATGGTACCATAAGCTATCTAATCTGTGCATTTCCAGCAGATTATAATTAGACAGCAATCTTGATCTCTATGCGTACCACACCCTTATAATCTCTGCGAGTTGCATATTCAATCCTTTCAAAATATGTTCAGTGGCATGGGCTCTAAATAAAATTTCTTGATCTGAGTGAAATTCAGACAGACTGATTATTTATATTTGTTTCCAAGGACTATCAAATTCTTCATTCAGTAAATACCTCGACCAAATAAGTTTGTGCAAACTTGCAAAAGATCTAATATATATATCATGTTTAAAGCTTATCTGCCATAGTTTACAGGAGGGATTAGATCGCCCTGCAAGGTCACTGGACAGGTGGTTATCTCATCAACTCAGCTCTCAGTCAACATAAGAAAAAGAGGATCATGGGGGACCAATGGTCACCGATTAGGCATTGTTTGTTATATAGAGGGCGCAAGTAGCTACAAGTAGTGCAGTGGGCCTTTAAACCACAATCAGCTTAATCATTATATAACAAATTGCGTTTTACTCTACCATTCCCTCCAGACCATCTGAACCTAAAAATTACAGTTTCCAACTTTTACAAAAACTTTCAGGAATATTGATACAAAGTGTCATGAACAAAAATAAAAATCGGGTAAATATAAGAGACTTGAGAACCTTAAACTTTCCTATAGGAGATAGGCTTCTTGAGCGCCAACAGTTCAATAGTTGTTCAATTTTGCATAGTCTTTCATTAAAGGGATATTTGAGTTCTGTTGCAGAGTGCGCTACACAAAATAATTTTGTTGTGAGATACTGAAAAAATGAGTGTCAAATTTGAAAGAACTTAATATTTAAACAAGAAAATCATCTTTGTTTGATCAAAATCGGTTCAGAGACGGCTGAAATATAACGATTTCTAATACTTGTGTACCACCACAAATATTAGATGTTTTGAACAATTTGATGAAAACCGTTGAAAAAAACGAAATAACGCCTTTTACGTCGTATTTCAACCAATGCCGATGTTGGCTTTTTTGTTGGCATTTTCGTGTTGCTTATATTACCTACGATTAGCCGGCTCATGTATTGTAATTTTTAATTAAATAATTAATTAACGGTCACCATGTTTTTTGGAAAGTGGAGCTGAATTGGTATGATCGTATTGGCTAAATTTCACACATTTTGGGGTCTAAAATTACCTTCATAGCAATTTCAGGTTCTAAAAGGGCACTAGAAATGTCAAAGATACGGATAAAAGCAATAACTATGCACTTTGAAGGCATTTGGGGTCTGAAAACGGAACTCAACTATCTCTTTAAAGTTCATATCTAAACCTAATGAAAACTGGATACCCAATCAAGAAATTTTGGACTGTTTCCAAACAAGACCCTTTTGGCCATACGGTTTTTTCAAGTGAGCCTTTTAGGGATCCAAGCCAAATACCTTCACTTTTCAATATACACTGTTGGTCATAAAGGTGGAAAACAATTTTTTATTCCAATTTATGGAATGATTTTGATAATGATTTATTTATAATAGGTCTAGATAATAGAATTCATTAAAACTCAGTCAATTCAGTCAAAACTGACATTAATGAGGATTAATGCCTCACAAAAGCGCACTTATATCACATTGACACGGTTTTGATCCTGGGGCCTCACAGTTACGAGGCTTTTGCTTTGCCACTGAATCATGACTGTACGCAGTGGGGGCTAGGGTAGGGGGGAACCCTAAAAATAAAAAAATAATAAAAAAATAAAATGCAATAGATTATCAATGATTCATTGCAATTCCCTCTGATCCTCAACAAAAAAAAATCCTCTGTGTGGCCTTGCCTCGAACCATAATGCATAGCCGTACAGAGAATTTTTTTCTGTTGGGGACCGGGTGAAAGTAAAATGAATTATTGATAATATAGTGCATTTACTTTGTGTTCAGCGAATACGCGCAAGTCATTCTTGGCGCTCAGTCGCTTTTCATTTTACACGTATACCAAAAAACATCGCATCTTTGTTTTTCTTGCGGCGGTACCTGGACAAGCCTCTATACATGAATTGTTATCCCTGACAATAATTGTTTAAATGATTTAACAAGGTCCTTCCACATCGAGTAACGCAACTTCCTTCGTAAATTAACGCCCAAACGGATACAACACGTCGGATGTATGACACTATGACACTGCTATTACAGTGCCAAACAGGCATATAACCTATTTATATCGTAACACATAGACATGTATCACGATGACTCAACTATATTTATATCGGATCACTCTTCAATGTTTACAAATGCAAGTCTGTTCGAGTTTGGAATTGGTCGATTTTGTTATTGTGAAGAAAAAAGACTGAATCATGAGTTATAAAATCTCTAAAATCGATGGAATCCGGCGTTTAACCTCGGTGATAACTTGTTATGTTAACTGCGATTTCATTGAAGCAATTATATTTTCTGCTGAGAGCCAAAAGGGTATTACAACTCACACTTTTACTCAAAGTTAACGTCTTTCTGGCTCTCAACAAACGATACCTTGGTTCGGTAGAGTATGATAAGTGCCTAGGTGGTGTGAAATACAAGTTAAATCTGGTCCCCATTAATATTATTCTGAATAATTTTTTCATGAAAGGCGAATGAAAATACAACATACTCCCTGGTATTATGCATCATAGTACCTACTTTTCTTATCCTAGTAATAAACCTTCCATTAATTTGGGTTCCTCTACCTTTAATCTTTTGTTTAAAAACAAGACTCACGAGCATTTTGTACGTTTTGCAAAATTAGACCCTTGAGTGCAGCCTCTCTGAAATGACCAAGGACATTCTTTCACTTTATTTATAGAACGCTCATGAACACACAATTTTTTGTGCGCTATATTTAAGAAGAAAATCACTGACAATCAAAGAACAGAATTATGATTGTTATCATTTCGATATAAAACTCGACAATGATATCTTGGGCGCTTCTCATAAATTCATTAAATGTAAAAAAAAAAAACATCCCTCCTACCGACTAACAAAATAGTCTACAACTATGAATTATCGATAATTGATTGCATTTTTTATTTTTTTTTATTTATTTGTCGGGGCTTCCCCCTATTCTAAGCCCCCGCTGTGTACAGTCATGATTCAGTGACAAAGCAATGGCCTCGTTAATGTGAGGTTCCATGATCAAAACAATGTCGATGTGCTATATCAGTGCCCTTTTGTGAGGCATTAATCCTCATTTCTGTGAGTTATGACTTAAGGACGTAGGTCCCCTAGTTGTCAAGCATAGTAACACACACATTCTTTAGCAGTCACCCAAAACAAACACTCACATATTATTATTTAACATAATCTGAGAATGTACTATCTAGATCTATGAGGACTAAATTATTGTCAAAATCATTCCATAAATTGGGTTAACAACAAATATTCCACCTTTATGACCAACAGTGTATGTACGTATGTATGCTTGTATGTAAGTATAAGTGTGTGCGTGTGAGTTTTTTTTTTTTTTTTTTTTTTTTGGGGGGGGGGGGGGGGGGGTGTAAGTACTTACTGAAGAAAGCCATTAACAAAAAATACATTTTTTTTTCTCCAAAACTAAATGAACTGAATCCAGAACTGGATTCATGTTTACAGCGACCGGATGAAGATGATATACCAATCGTTTGCGAATTACAAATATATCAGTAAAACTAGGAATACAATGACAAACTTTTAATCAGATCTTTGTTATATGGCTAATGGTCTACACAGCCGGAAAACGATTGGCTTGTTTTATGATGGTAAAGCAGGTCATTATGGTTTGTTCCTTAGAGTATGCATATAGTATTTGTTTAAAGAGCCGTTGCCAAGAAAGTATGAAATATAGACATATATAGATGTATACTGCCGTAGGTTACGTTTAGGTTCCGTAGTGCGTGGTATTAAAATTTGTTTGAAATGTTAAATGGTTATTTATGTAGTGTTGACAAATTTGTTCCACAGATTCTTCAGATTTGTTGCTTCTTTTGTATACAAGGCTTAGGGGGCATACAGCAATTAAATGATTAAGTGATTAATGGCATACGCAAACGTTTACAAAACAAGCGCTTGTCGCCTGAAATAAACTTTTCTTTAAGAGAACAAAGATGTTGCATAATTCAAAGAGAACATCCGTTTGATACACTCCAATAGGTCTATTTATGCACTTGGAGTATCTCTACACACAATAGAATTGATTAATGAATGAATCACGCGACACTTTTTAAATCACCCCTTCCCCCACACCCCTAAACCACCCCTTCCCCCCATAAATGAATCCCCTCCTGTCGAGGGTCTTAGGATTAGCGCAAAATGGCATCATTATAGATGGCTGGTCGCTCCCAGATTACGCGGTTGAATTTTAGGCCCCCTTCACCGTCTTTCTAAGAAGCAACATGTAAATATCTTGCCAATAATATCATTCTTATTTTGTCAGAATCATAGAATATCATCGATAAAATGACAATACAAACATACAAAACAACCTATGAACATGTTCAATCCTTATCACATTAGTATGGGGCACGAACAAAACGTTACAAACAATCAGTAATTTGTAAACGTAGAACAGCGGGTATAGGTTGTTACATGCTTAGATCCACCTGTATATCTACCATTTGGAAATTCTCGGAACAGGATGAACTTAGGGGAAAAGGTCAACTTACCACCAACATGAAAGTTCCAAAAAGTTCGGATAGAAATACCCTCATCCACCAGTTACCGATGTGAAGCCTTTCTTTGAAAGGTGTGTCCCTCGCCATTTTGGCGTATCCTTCCACGAGAGCGTTAAACAACCGATTGAGAGATAGAATGCAATGTAACGTTCATTTTATTTCCCCTTACATTGTTGATTAGTTAAGCGCTTCCAGAAATACAAGTCAGACTGTGAATAGAGTCACGTGTGCTTGGTAGTATCAATTGGGCACGCATGTGCTTTATGGAAAGTGCACATAACCTTTCACAGACTAAAATTGATCGGGTAGTTGTAGTGGAATTTAAATGGTTCCTCACGTTGTAAAAAGTTTCTAAGTTTATACAATTTTTTTGTTACCCCTTTCCTTTTTAGATATTTCAGTATAAATATTAATCGCAGACTGTATCACATGATCGGACGGTAATCGCCTCGGGGCCTATTTTTGCCGATAAACGTCGAAGTGAAAGACACGTCGATGCCTGACGTATTCGGGTTTTGTGTATATTAAGTATGCGACGCGTTCCCTGTAGAATAATTATAACAGACAAGTGATACATATATTTTGAATACTTTTTGATCATTTTTTTTGTTCATTAAATACGAAGACAAAAATGATGGTTTCAACTTATCCATGATTAATTGGTCATAATTATGCAAATTAATATATTTCGCTGTAGGTAACTTGATCATGTGAAGGTGTTGTAATCTAGGTAAGAAAGGGCATTCCACCAGATCGTTTCAGGGCATATTTCAAAATAAAAGCGCCCCAAGATCATGATGGTGTTTTTTCTCCTCCGTTTGTACTTTATTTGAAATGTATATATAACATGGGAAATATAAAAATAAATGAAATGAAATGAAATGAAATGTATTCCAGCATTACTACCGCTACTACTTCTACTATTGACCGAAGCTTCATTCTCTTCTGTAGGTTCTTGATCTACTGAGACTATATCATGCTAAGTATGACTGCCGGTTCGAATCCTGACACGGTACTAATATCCTTTGGCAAAGTACTTGTTACTCTCCCAGGTGTTAAATGGGTACCCGGTATGATGCGACCGTCATTGTTAGTCAAACAGTTTTTTAGCGTCAAGTAACGCCTGGCTGGAATGCTCCCCAGGGATTGTAGATTGTGCACACAGTGTGTGCGGGCAAGCACTGAATTCAATGACCTAGGTAATAATATATTTGTAAAGCGCTTAGAGACATTGTATTAAGCTATATATAAAAGCTAAATATTATTATTATTATTATAATTAAGTTTATTCATTTCCATGAAAATCACATTACAAAAACACATACATTTTCAAAAGGTACTGTAAACAACATGCAAAATCGTTAACTAGAATATACATAAGTACATTAAAATATTAAACAATAATGGAAAAAGGGAAGTTATAAAAACCCAAATAAATAAGTTTGTTGAGATGTCTCCCCGAAAATAATTAAACAAAATGTGATGGACATAATACAGATTTGAAATTACATAAACTTATTTTGCCCCAAAGAAAACTCGTTTAAAGGTAAAGACCAGTATTGGAAACGCCCCAATTTCAAAAAATGAAATGGAAGCTCTCATTACCAATCATGTGAAAGAATATGTTTTGACTAATACATGATGATAAAAAATTTGCCGGGAAACCGCCTACTAATTCATATATTTGGTAAATTTGTTTCTCTCATGGTCTGTGAGAGATATAGGGTAGTCCCATATACATCTTTCTGTGTATAGTGCTTGTAACTTTACAAAGAAAGGGCCAAATTTCTTATCATTTTGATGATTCCAGAACCTTCCAGATGCTAGATGCTGGATGATCAACCTTTTCTGATTGATTCCACAACGTTTCTTTCACAATGCAATCGCATGACCATAACTGGTCTTTACCTTTAACAACTGAAACGAAAAAGAAAAAAATACAAGCCCTACAAATACACACATACACACACATATATAAGTGAAAAAGTATTCTACTCTAAATCACATGTAATTAGATGCTGCTTTACACTTTGTATATGGGGTAGGTCCATAAATATCAGTTTAATGTTTTATTAAATAAAGAATTCCCCGTACCAGACGGTTATTATTGTCTATTCTACTTTTCTCGCCGTTGTTTTTCATTATAAGAAGTATAAGATTTAAGAAGTACACTGGGGGTCAAAGAATCAAAGGATGAACATTCGGGATTCTTCTCAGCTCTAAAGATGCAGGTTTGGTGGTCAACAAAGTATTCCTTGTTTGTGCACTACCGCCATCTACCGACGAATATCTTCATATTTTTCTTCTTCGGGGCAGCGCCAGGAGCGTCACGTTGTGACGGACATGAGCGCTATATAAGAAGCCACCATTATTATTATTATTACAAATAAAATAAAAAAATGCTGGATCGTAGAATTGAGGAAAGAAAAATCAGCATAAGAATATGGCATATTTCATTTCCAAAAATGGGATAATTTTACAGACAACAGTGAACAAAAACAAAGAAAGGGAGGCGCCAGTGCCACTTCAAACTTTGTCGACGGCGAATTCCATTTCTAAAATATCGATTTTATATCGAAATTCTAGCATTTTTACATGAAAAGGTTAACTAGACCATTATCTGTTGTAGACATCCCGGAGATGTGATTCATAGTGAGTTCTAAGAAATGTAGTGAAAAGTATGAAATGTCCGTTTGCGTTCAGGGTAAAACAAAATCGATACTCCCGATCAATGATTATTCTTAACATCTGTTGCGGTATTAAATGAGATAAGCCACGAGACTGCAGGCTCGTGGCTTAGTTTGCCTTATACTCTTCTAATATTGACCTGCCACGGATCTAATTATGTGTGTCAAACATCTGCAAATTTTATATCATATGTTTTTATTTTGCATTAAACTAGTTTATATGACTCGACGTGACGTCAGATTTAAGGTTGTACTGGCATTTTCCCGTAAATTTGTTCCCCTGGGCATTATTTTCGATTCATTGATCGCTTTCTGCCTTTCCTGAGTTAAATAAAGAATAGGCAATTGTGCTATTCATGTCGCAGTTAAAATATTAACAATGACATCAACAATAATAATAACAAAGTACAAACAATAATGTGATATTAATACAAATAACAATAATATGTCTTGTTTGCCAAGGGTAGCCTCATCGGTATTAAACCGTCCTCCCCGAGGGCCCTGTAATAATATTATTACAACAACCGTACCGTACCAATCTTAGATGGTGTGAAGGAGGCGGACGATAATCGTAAAAAAAGAGGATGAGATTGATGATGGAAATGAAGATAAGCGATGAGGATGGTGATGATTGCGGTGGCGGGATGATGATGATGATGGTGATGATGATGATGATGATGATGATGGTGATGATGATGGTGATGATGATGATGGTGATGATGATGATGATACTGATGATGATGATGCTGATTTCGGTGATGATAATAGTTGAGGTTGAAGTTGAAGACGAAGATGATGGTAATGATTTTGCTAAATAGATGAGGACCATGCTGATGGCGAAGATGAAGATGGTATTGCTGATGATGGTGATGGGGATTAGATGTTTATGAATTTGGTGGTGATTATGATAATGAGGAGGAGGAGTTAACATTGACAGGGTATCATCACATTAGGTTCGCTTGAAATTCTTATTAGAACAACGGTCACTAAGATTGGATTTTATAATTATAATCGCCTAGCTCATGTCGTTTGGACCGGGTTTTATGTAGCCAATTAGTGAATTCGTAATACTCATACCACTCGACCGAAGGTTCGTCATACTGACCGCACCAACAGAAACATCGGTCTCGTGAATCTTCTTCTCCCATGATGGTTCAACTGACCGAAAGAAAGTCGGTCTCGAATGCCATCTTGCACCACGTCAGAAAATCTTTTGTTAGGCATAAGGCAGGCAGTGATTATATAAATTATCTTTCGGAAACATTAACATAAATGGGGGGAAAATCGCACAAATTACAACATAGTCTGTATTCAATGTTTTAAAAAACAACGGGTAAGCTAGTTGGAACAGAAAGAAAAATGTTCTGTAGCAGTGCTCTTCCGAGCTACAAAGAACGAATATATCGATATTATGATATTGATCATGATAAACGTTCCTGTTTGCATTTCTGGCAGGATGAAATTAAAATCAAACAATATTATCGATTCCATTCTTATCTGTATTTACTACCCTGTCACCTCTTTTTTCCTCGGACTGTACGACCGATGTAGCATGTGGTCGCAAACTTCAAATACTTGAACAGCCGACATATGGACCCAGAATCAGCGTGCCTAATACGAAAGGGAATATCTGTTCTTGTCTTTTTGTTTGTTTGTTTTTGTTATCCGGAGGGGGATATATACTGCAAATTAGTCGTAGAGTTATATAAATCTACAGATACAGAATCCAAATCTTCGTGTACGTTTGTGTATTGTGATGCATTTCACATAGTTTTAAAACGTTTATATCATAATTTCCACTTGCAAAGCAAAGTACACACAAATAGACATGTTTTGTAGCCAATAATGTTCAGAAAGTCATTGATAATTTTGTTATTATACCTCATCTAAATCTTTTAAATAATTGATTTCAGAAACAATTTGTTCATGTAACCACAAAATGTGAACCTGAGCATTAAATCATCCTAAGAAAGGCACCGGAGTGTTGGCTCAGTCAGTAGAGCGTCCGCCTCAAAACCGAGAGGTCGTGGGTTCGAACCCCGGCCGCGTCATACCAAAAGACGTTAAAGATGGGAGTTGTTGCTACCTTGTTTGGCGATAATGGATAGAGCAACGTCGATCTGGCGCTGCTCAGTGGCTGCCGTGCTCACGACCAATTGGGAAAAACAGAATTTCCGTTTCGGTTTAATAAAATTTGGAGTGGACTATTAGGCTATTATTATTATTATTATTATTATAACATTTGATAAATAAAAAATGAAAACAAAGGAAGTGTCTTTGTCTTGGGCATATAACAAAGAGATTACACGTAAACAAAAAATAAAATCGAGTTTCATCGTTCTATCTTTAGACCAAATCTTTCATTAAAAAAAATCGGCAACTATTGAACGATTAAAACACAGATTGTTTTTATAAATCAAATCACAATAATTGAAATTTTCTTACAATTGGAGCGAATTACTTTTTCAAACATTAAATTATAACCTGACATGTCAGAGGTGAAAGCTGTGCTTGACTTGATGGTCCTTGTCTGTTTTTGTAAGGAGAAA